GAAGAATGGAATAATGCTGCCATGACCCAGGTAGCACCCCCAAATGAAGTGAACTGTGTGGGTTTTCTTTTTGCAGTCATGAAGTACCCAAGGAGTACTGAAGACTGTAGCACAGGGTCAGTGGCTCCATGCACTTTTTTTCTTCTTTGGTGTAACGTCAAACCATTAGGAAATTTCTGACTTTTGTAAGTTCACTTTAAACAATAACATGATTTCATTTTTCTCAAGGCGCTGCTTTGTGCACATATTTCTAATGCCAGCCCTTCTTAATTCTCCTTGTGTTTCTAACTGAGACAAAGCAACAATATTTCCATGGCCAAACAAAGCAGAAGTGGCCCCAAAAAGCAAAAGAAGACAACTGGGAAGGGCTGCTGGGAGGAGACACGAAAGCCCATTGGTGTGAAGTATGTTCATGCCCACATCCAGTAATGGCATGACCATTTCTTTTTCAGTAGCTACAGCTTAAACCACAACCCTGGGTTTCAATAACATAGAGCAAGCACATTGGCAGAGGGACAAAGATGCCCTGGATGACAAAGAAAAGGGGGGTCTGGGTTTTATTAAGGAGCTCTTAACTTCTCTGGTACTTTAGAGGCTGCCTGTGCTTGGCTACCAAGGAAGGAGGGCTCGCCAGTGCCTGTCGCTCACAGGTTTGGAGCTTTGCTCATCTGTGTGCAAGGACATAAAATTCCCTTCCAGGGGCTGCATGGGTCCCTCACTCTCCCTTGTGCTGCTGCAGCAAACCTCCCCACTTCGGAAAATGGGGAGTGTGTGGCGGGGAGCAGATCTAATTTTTAAAGAGATATTGGGCTCACTCCTGAAATTATTGTTTCCAGCCTCCTCAAATGGAAAATAATGAACCTAGCATCAGCCTGATTCTCAGGGCAGTGCTTTAGCCATGGCTCTTTCTTGGCACCCTGGGCTCTCCTTACATCTCCCTCGGCTCCCTGAGAGGGAGGTAAGCGTGCAGGAGTTGAAGAGTACAATGAGTGAGCCAGACCACCCGCTCTCTGGGCCAGCCCACCTCCCCAGCGGGCGATGAAGAGCCGCAATCACGGGAGCACATCTGCTCTGCAGTCTAGCCACAACTGTGGCGGGGGGCAGGAGTACCCATGATCAATGGAATAGCGCCGTTCCCACACGGAACGGACAAAGCACAGCCACAGAGATGTTCATGGTGAAGTCTGCATCTCGGCAATGGGAGGATGCCTTTGTCAACGGCAACTGGCCTACCGGTCAGCTGTGCTTCCAGCATGAATATTGAGGGGAAAGGCTGCTTACTGCTGTGTATCAAGCCCAAAGATGAAATACAGAAGTGAATTGAAATTTCTGTGGTAACTGCTTAATGAGAGAGGCTGATAATCAAAGGTTGGGGTGTAGCATTTTGGCTGTATTTAAACAGCACTGAAGTAATCTGCAAGCCGCCAGTACAAATGCAACAACAACTTCAAAGAGCAATGGCATCTTTTCTCTTTTCCCTCTCCCTGGCTAGAATCTCTGTATGCCTGTGTACGCTTTGTAGTGTTTTTTTTCTATCATCATGACAATTTAATTTTTTGTTTGCTTTTTTAAGAGAGAAAAAAAAAACAACAACCCACCCTTTTGCTTTAATGATATTCACCATGGTGAACTTAAAAGTGGCTTACAGAAGCGGAGTCTGGCATTTTCTGTTTGCACCAGTCAGTCACTAGTGATTGATCTCAGAAGCCAGGCTTCATTTTCGAAGAAAAATAAGCTGCAGTTGGCAAAACCTGATTAAAGTGAGTGGAGTTTTATCTGATGTGGCTGTTGCCGCTCATTTCAGTGTAATGTCTCTCTTTTCAACTACAGAGGACCTGCAGAACACAGAACAAAAAGTATGCATCACATTATAACACACTCTTCTAAAAGTTTAAGTGTTCCTAATAGGCCATCAAACTGCTAGGAAACCAGCAGCCATGGGTATGTTGTTGGCACATAGCATAAACTCCTCATATAGGTGTTGTAGAGTTTGTGCTGTCATCCTTACATAGAGGTCTACCTCAAGAGAAGCTGCTAGTTAGACTGATGCTACCGTTAAATTAAAATTGCTGCCAGAGATCATGAACTAAATATAAAAATAATGGTAGGATCTTGACTTTGTTTAGTGATTTGGGGGCTTTTAGGGAGGAGTGGATCCATTGTAGTTTCTCCCTCTAAGAGTATGAAGCCCGAAAACATCTGGGACCCTGACACAAGCAAGCCGTGCCACTGTTCCTCATTCTGCTCACTAGGAAGGGCTGATATCACTCCATTTTACTTCCCAAAAAAGAGAAAAGTTCCTTTTCCTCTCATTTCTGGGGAAGGGGAGGCAGTGAGAGAAGGAAGAGTAGGTGAAATTACATTTGAAGAGGTGCAAATCTAAAACTGACAGTCTTGGAGGCAACACATTCAAATGGGTATTTGCAGAGTAGCTCCTCTGCACTACAGCTAATGGCATGTGAAAAGGTCCTACGCACAGAAAACAGTCTGACATGTTAAAATAAAGAGCTCTGAAGCTGTGAAGTCTGGCGCAGCTGTAAAAATAACTTTTGCTTTGGGAGGGGAGGCTGGGAACCCTGCAGCTCCCAGTTCTTCTCAAAGACAATGCCCGGTGCCGCAGCGAGGAACGCGGAGGCTGCCATGGCTCCTACAAATCTCCACCAAAACCTCAATTTAAATTACTGTTGAAGATTAAAGGCTAGCGTAAGCCTACACTCCCTTGCAACCACATTAATTATTAAGGCAACATGCAGAGCTCTGTAATTGGCTGCTGTCTGTTAGAACAGTGCTGAGTTTATAGGTTAGGGTGATGGCAGAAGGAGGATGATGATGATTACATACGATTTCTGGGTTTGCTGGTTTGGGGGAGAGGTCTCTTCTAAAATTGGAAGCTATGTGAAGAAAAATCAGGATGCCCTTCCCATAGCAGATGCCAGGAGAGAGGAGGGAGTAGCCTAGATGAAGGCAAAGCAAGGAAGCTCCTCCTGCTAACTGCAGCCCAAAATTAAATGGTGATGATGCCAGGAAGTGAAGATGAGGCAACAGTTCTGCTCCCTTGGACAACCAAACTTATAATACCCTTTCTGTCTACCCCTAGAAAACAAACCCCAACCCTGCTTCTGCTCTGCATAAGCATTAGCCACTGTGGAAGTTTTTATGCAGCTGTAACATTGCCTTGCTTTCATTTGGTTCATCCTATCGGGAAGTTGTCGCCTCCCCTGGCCAGAAACCAGACAACTCCTTTGAGGGACTTCACTACATTTGCAAACACCTTTACAAAATGGACCCACCACACATTTGAGGAGCACCTCAGAGTCTGAAATCAATGCCCACGGGTCTGTCAGTGGATCTGCTTCAGCCAACTGTTAGTCCTCCATCCACAGCAAACCCCTCTCCAGTAACCCGCCCTAAGAAAAGACCACACTGCCCACAGCATGCACAAGGGACATAAGGAACACACGTGTAGACAGCTTGGCTGATGTGCAGCACCATGTCACCCTGTGATAACCTTTGTCTGCCTTGGAGCCCCAGGCTTGCTCCTGAGCTGACTCAGCCCATCTCAGTTTGGGCCAGGCCCACTGCAGTGTTTAAATACCAGTGAAAACTTCAACAACACAACCCACAAGAGATGCAACAGGAAAAAGGAGAGATCTGAGGTACTATCAACATCTCTGCATACAGATCCAGGGAAGAACGGGGCAGGAAATGATTCCAGCCGGTTGCAAGCCAAGAAAGGGAGTGGACAGACTGCCATCTTCCTGGAAGAAGGCAAGCAGAAAGTACTGTAGTCGTTCTGGCATTGTTTAAACCTGAAAATTGAAGACAGCAGTGGAGAAACCAGCACTGGTCACTTTTCCTCCTCATCCAGAGTCTGGCCATGGAAGGGGTCACAGCATTTGTCCCTGGGCAGGACACACTGTGTCCCCTCAGCAGCAAATATCACCATGACGACAATGCCATTAAATTGTCAATCGAGTTTAATGCATCATAAAGAAGTAAAACTACATTGGCATATTTAAGACAAACACTTTTTTTTCTATGCACACTATCCACTGGACAGTCCCCTTTCCAAAATAACTACTTTTAACAGTCCAAGACAGTTCTTCAGAAATTCTTCACATATGCAACCTTCCACGTTTTTCCTTGTTTTATTTGTCTGAGAAGGAAAAAAAATCATTAAACCTGAAAACATTTACATTGCAAGCCACGTTAGAATGCATAATTGGCATACAATAACCAATGTATAACAATTGTGTTTTACTTAGTTCACTTTGTTCATCAATAAAAGAATATAAAAATCTTGTTCAACCGAGTGTTGTGTATTAAAATAGATTTGTATAGTACTGCACAGTTTCTCCCGGAGTTGTGAAAATGGTTGAAGGGACCATGTGCTGCCTAGTGATGGGCGACGGAAAAAGCCAGTCCCTCGTGTGGTTTGTGTTTTATTAAAACAAAGAATATTCGGCACCATGTGATATGCTGATGTGAGAGACTAGCCTTGTGTCGTGCTCTGGTGGCTCCTTGCTTCCCTTAAGTACCTGGTGTGCTAATTGATGGAGAACCCATGAGCGACAGAGACGATGGCATCCGGTGAGTGGTGTGATGTTGAGAAAAACCGGGGTGCCCATAACTACCTTCCCAGGCAGGCCACAGGGTGATGGGGTCCCTGGGGCCTATGGGGGGGCCAGGCGGACCCTTGCAGTATCAGGAAGACTAGCTAGTGAAACAAACAGGCGCACTGGGGTTTTCTCAGGCTAATGCTAAACGCTTCCCAAATGTGCTAAGCTCCAACAAAACATTAAAAAGAAATCAAGTTTCCAAAAAAAAAACCCCAACCCAACAAACCCTTTAAATTTTCCATGTCCTGTCCCTCCCCCAGAACTCTTGATATTATCCAGTACGAGAAACAATCCCTTGAGACAGGGTTCTTTTTTTTTTCCTGTACCGTTTCAGCAGATATTTCTGCGAGAAAAAAAAAAAAGAGAAAAAATTCTAAGAATTAAAAAAAAAATAAAAATCACGTTACATGTTTTTAACAATAAAAATGCAGTACAAAAATGTAAAGTTATCTTTTTGGCATATTATCTGTACTTGCAAGAAACAAAAAAACAGACTATTTATTTGCTTTTTTCCTTGAAAAAAACCCAAATAAATAAAAAAGAAAAACCCCAAAATAATCTCTTTAAAAAACAAAACCCAACCTGCCAAAGTTATCCACTATTATGGTTTATGCTAAATCTTGCACAAAAACTCCATGAGAAAAATACACCGATAGCAAAATAAGTAAAAAGGACCTGCAAAAAAGTAAGGAGTTTTACAGTCATACTTTTTTAAATACTTCGGAACGCATATACAGAAGCATCAGCATGAAAATACTTCAATATTTTACTAGAAACGCTAACTTCATACAGTTTATTTAAATATCTGCAATTCTCAACTCTAATAATACTGAAAAAAAAGGATCTTTTGTTTCGAAGGCTCTGTGAGCGTCTGTGACGCCGTTCTCATCAACATGGCCCCATCTCCAGGTCATCTGAATCAATGGGGCCAACTTTGTTCCTCTGATAAGAATCCATCTCGAGTCCTAAGTAGTTCAGTTTCTGGTTATCTCACCAATTTCCCTCCCACACATAGCTCTCAGCCCAACTACTTCTCTACTAACTCACTAACTCTTTGCATTGAAAATTTTCCCCTTAAAGCAGAACTGGAAACCTGTCTGCCCCCCACAAAAGGATATCCTGTTTCCCATCGGCCATTCTTTTCCTGCTCATCCTCAGTCATAAATACATTAAGGCCAACATAACAACAAAAATCTCATAAGCACTGAAGGTCTCGGCAAATACAAAACCACAGCACAACCCACTCCGTGGGAACCTGCTGCCACAGTGACCTACAAACTGGGCTGATTGGTCTGGAAGTTTCTATTTTGCGTATCAAAACTGAGATTGTTCCTTTTCTCTCCTTTGTTTCAGTTTAATCTCTCCTCTGCGCATGTGTATGAAGTTTTTTTTCCCCCCTTCTTTTGCTCTCTGGCAGCCGGCTCTGTCAGTTGTTACCCTGTGATTGCTGCAAGGCTTTGTGCATGGCAGCGGAGGCAGGGGAGGGTTTGATCCAGGGGACAGTTAGCAGGGAGGAGGTGGTGGTGGTCGTCATGGTAACCTGAATCATCTGCTCGTTTTGTATCAGTCTAATGAGGGTTTTGAGACGTTCCAGTGATGACTGAGTCCCTTTCTGCTGGGCCAACAGGCTGGTTTTTAGCTCTAAGCATTTCTGTCAAATAAAGAGAAGGGGAGAGAGAAGGAAAGACTGAGAATACATTCAAATTGGTGTCAAACATCTCTCCAAACATCCTTTTTTTGTCTTGAGTGCATGTCCTACGCAAATGAAGCATATTCTCCTTTGGGGATAGCAAAACCACAGCTTAACGAATGGAGCAATCACCAATGCTGCATACACTGCAGAAACTGTCTAAGGTAACGATATTCGTCCCAGTACAAGTGCATTCGGAGGATGTTTCCGATCTCAACCTGCAGACAGCCTGGCAGAAATGCCTTCTGAACTCCAAATTGATTACTGGCATGGGACTGTAATAGCTGTATTACTGAGAACTACCAAAAGCAACAGTGAGTTCTCTAAATCCTACCAAAAGGCATTGATAAGCGCTTGAAGGATAAACCTCACCATGATGCATTTCATACGTGCCACACATTTTAGGGAGTCAGTACTGTGACGCTAAGTTGATCTCTCTGAAGATAATGTCAATATTTTTTCTGGCGGAAAATTTGATCTAAGACACAAGAAAGGCTTTTCCTATGGGGTGGCCAAACTGAAGCCCACAGTCATGAAAAACATTTCATACAAACCTACGTGGAAATGAGCGTGAGACCAAGAACCAAACAAAGGATTCCCAAATCTCCCTCTTCTCCATGAAGGCATAAGAATCAGTAATTCTCCTTTCCCTCCCCAACCACATACTGCTACAGCTAACATCCCATTCTCTACACTGTCAACTGGCCTGTCAGGGACTATATGAGAGCACAAAACCCTGAGCCTGTCAGCCAGATGGAAGAGGATGGTGGCCTCTAGTATCTGAAACCTCCTGTTTTCTTTCTCTCAGATGGCCCAGGGGTCTTGCAAAACCGGTTACTTGCTCTTCTCTGGCTGTAGTCTAGACTGCTAAGGGCAGGGGGGATTCTCTAGTCCTGAGGAAGCAGGAAATGATGACCTGAAAGTCAAGCTGTTTGAAAAGGCAACCATGTGGAGCTGCTCAGAGGTTTGTTTAGAAAGATGAAATCTCAGGTGAAGGATAAATCGTGTTCTGTTTTTACCAAATAACACCATTCCACCTGTGGTGTATATGAGAGTATTCTCTGTAATGTAAATCTCTGTTAAGGTAAATATCAGAAATGAAATTGCTCTGTGCCAGAACAACTTTAATTGTTTTTCTCCTTTCGAGTGGATGCATCTCCAATAAATACAATCATTGTCTGATATTACAATTCAAATAAGACAGTGCTGCCCACTGAAAGAACCTGATTCTGCCTAGGTAGAAACTTCCTGATTTCGACAGCCTTGACATACACCTGATAACTGACTGCATCCTCAAATGCTTTTCTTTTTCCAAACACCTCATCCCACTGCACTCTCCTACATACTAAAGCTACTCCGTACCCCAGAGTCACTTCTTCATACATATGTGTGTTTCCATTAGTGCTGATGGTGGCTATACCCACTTCCCCACTGTGATGTCTTTTAATAAGTTATTGCTTTTCCTTCCACTCTATTTTAAGTGTGATAAATATTTTAACATGCCTCCTCTGGATAACTGCAATGGTAAAACAAGTAGTGACCAGTTACTCCTGCAGCTGCCACTTTGATTTTTCCAGGGTAAGAAAGTTTCAAATAATTTATTAAGCTTCCCCTTATGAGTGGGCCTGAGGTGAGGTTGCCCCAAATAAGTTCCTTCAGCCATGGAGGATAGGAATTATGGCTTTTCATTCATTACTGCCAGAGACTGGTCCTCATAGCATGGTACATCGTGGGAGACATCTCCAGCCAACATTTAGCTTTGGAAGGAGTTCATGGAGAAATGATTGTGAATCCATTTCCAGTTATGGAGTGGCTGTTACAACATTCATCCAGTGAGTCAAATAAAGATGGTTATTTCTACCTAATCTCAAGAGTTTTGAGCTAATAGACATGCAGGCACCACTGGAGGACACGGTTCTGACTAAACTTTTCACCTGGAGAATGGAAGTGCCTTAAAGTCAATGGGTAGATAAGAGCTGTGTATGGCACTACAAAGGCGGCATCCATGGCTATTTTGGGAGGAGGAGAAGGAGGAGTAGTTGTGTGCAACAGGAATTCAGGCGATTTCTCCTCCTCAGCCTGCCAAAGCAGCTTGCTTTTGTGCATTAAGGAAATCTCCATGATTTTCCTCAGAGAGAAACTCATTCATACTTGAACATCTACAGCCTGGGAGCATAAATCATTTTCTACCCACAAAATACCGTTTTTTCAGGCATAAATACTTTATCAGCATCTCTGCAGGAGACTCCGTGTCCCCAGTCAGGTGTCCTACCTTCACTGCATTGTTGAGAAGGCGATCTTTTTCTTCTAACTGTCTATGCTCATTCTTCAGCTCACTGCTTCTCTTTAATAACTTCCGTTTCTCTTCTTCTTTGACTGTGGAACAATAAAATTAAGGATGCAGAAGTTAAGAAAAGGACACATGGCAAAATTGTGTGCTTGACAGAAGAAAACAGAAGGATGTATTTTGAATAGCGAGTTTCAGGTCTCATTAGCCTTTTGTCAGCAGATACAGCCAAATAAATCTGGAGTTTCTGCTTGCACACAGGACAACCCAAAAGCTATAGTGCACCTTTGAGATTAATTTAAATTAATCCTTAGACCACATGTGTTGCAGAGGCCTCCAAGAAAAAGGTGAATGGTATTTAAGAACAGGTCAATCACGTGGAATGGCAACAGTTAGCAACCCTGACTGAAAAACACAATCGTAACAGTACCAGACCTCTGCAAAGTTCCTTACAAATATGATCTAATGCCCCAAACAGCCCATTATAGGTGCAGCAGGGAACTAAAAAAGAGTAATGGTCAATGCACAGATATCATACAACATCTGACACTAATGATTGCGATTCCAAATAATACTGAAACAAGAACTAATATTGCTGCGGTCTCAGAGACATTAGTCTAGCATCGCACTACATACCAAATTACATGGCTCTGCCTCGGCTGACTGTGTCCCTCTACCTCCCAGCCTGAAATAATTCTGCCTCAAAATCCCACTTCTAGGCCTGTTCTTAGGAACGCACCACTTTGATAATAGGCTCCTCCACAGAGTGGAGGTCCTGAGGGATCAATCTCAGCTTCCTTAAAAAGAGAAGTTAGCCCACCATGAGGGGAAGGGGAGAGAAAGTGACCTTCTGTTCCCAGTCTTACTAACGCCATCCACCTGGTAGTATTACAACACTACTTTAATATTAGTGCTATGAAGGACCCAAAAGGCATCACACATCACAAGTAGGGAACCCCTTGTCAATAGCTACGTTAATCCCTACCTGTTTTATGAGTAACATAAGAGTGAACAATAGCCAGAGTTCCAGTCCATGGCACATTGTCATCTTTCTTTAACACCTATAAACCCAGGAAACAATAAAAAATTAGGACTCCACAAAGACACATATTAATGTTTTTCTTCCTCCAGCCTCACAGCTCTGCAGGACCACATCTAGGGTCCTTGTCTCAGAATTTGCAAGCTGAAAAGTAAAGAGAGAATACTTTGAGTAGCCTTCTCCACTGGGGCTTACTCCTTTACACATCGCTATAAACAGCACCACCTAACAATGTTAAAAGGAGGTTACAAATCCTCTGTTTCTTCTTGCCATGTCCAGAAGACATTCTTCAGCCCCTGACATGCAGATATCTACACTGTCAGGAGTGTTGTCTGCTCAGCTTGGTCCATATGAAAACATGACTGTACAGATCTAATCTTGGGCTGCTCTGATCTCTTGTATGCAACTGCATACAAGAACTTCCCCTTGACATTTTCAAAGGAACATAAATTATCTCAGTGCTAAACTCTAAGGCACAAAATCTAAGCCTCCACTCTACAATTTAATGACACTGTTTTAGTAATCATTGTCCTGTTCATGCAGTCAACATCATTCAAAGCAAATAGATAAATCAGTATTTCTGACATGCTGATCAACAGTTGTGTGTAAAAACCATAGCTTTCGGATCCACTGGTGAACAACGTACCCTTCTGACACTTTCTCCCTCATCTATAAGACTTTCATTACTTGTCTGGCAACCCTACATGCTGGTGGTTTTATTGTACAGAAGGGGGAAAAAGAAAATGAAGAGACATTTTAAGAGGACAAATCTCAGAAGATGTGATTACAGGGAGGCTAAGGCACTCAGTGTATGTTCTAACTCTAGGACAATGAAAATACCAGAACCAAATGCTGCAAACTGTACTAAAAGCCTCTTGGTATTACTTTAGCTAAGGTAGTCCCCTAAGCTGTGACTACAGCTAAAGTAGTCCCCTAAGCTGTGACTAGATTAGTTTAGTGGTACACAAATTCAAGGTTTCTCCCATTCTATTTTCTCTGGGTTCTATGCTCCATGCAACTTACCTTCTGTTGGCACTTTGGACAGACCCAAACCCCCTTGGGGGCAGTTTTGAGGGGTGGGTCTAAGCAGTTGAGGTGATATGCTCTGGGACACGTGCCACAGGGCTGCAAGTTAACACCACGCTTGCAAGCAGTGCAGTGCTCATCATGGTGGATTTCATTCTGCAAGAGAAGCAAATGGACGGCTTTGGTAAAATCGATGCATTGGCAATTCCTCTCTATGGAGTATTCAAGGCCTCTGTTGAAACAGACAGGCTCATTCAAACACAAAATCTAATTGTCTGGCCTCTGTAGAAAACAGAAATAATAGGAACAGATACAAACAAACAAAAGAGCCAGAAGCAAGTTGCATAAATTGAAACAGTGAAATAAACCCCAAGTAATCAAACACAGGGGGAGAGTTGACTAATATAGCCACTTTGTGACACAGGAATTATTTTATTTATTTGTGATAATGTGTCACTCCAACACATGTATCATCATGCACAGCTCTATTCTGAAGTGTAGGTCAAAGTCAGTATGTGGATCACTTGTCCTTCAAGTCGAAACCAGAAAGAAACAAGCAAGAAAAGGTTTCGGGGGAAAAAGCACAGCTCCATGTTTTAAGCCCACTGCTCAAAGAGCAGCTAGGAAAATGGTATGCTCAGCCTTTTGCTATGCACCCTCTTTTATGAACCCCTCTAGAGGGCTCCTCTGTCCCTCTATTCTCGCCGGCACTAATTGTTCTCTGTACAGACTTGCTCTGACACCCGTTCTTCAACAAGACTGACTACTACTTTGTCTGAAGAGATATATAAAATGAACTAAGACTCATCAACAAAGTTACAATGTCATGTAGTAAATTGTTATGCTAATCTGGTGGCAACATTAATTACTCTTTGTATAATTAAGTGCATTTTAATAAAGGAGATACTGATTTTGAAACTCTCATGGCTTGTGAATCATAAAAACTCCTAAATTTTCCTAGTGCTTTTCCAGGAAGAAGAATAATAATTTTGTATCTTAGTTAATTCCAAAAGCATAATTTTGTTTTTAGGGATATTAATTATAATGTGTCATGATAGTTTTAGGCAGGTTTATATCTTGAATTCTAACTCAGTCCCATCAAAAAAATCACTCTTTAGAAATTCCCTGCTCCAAAAGTCTTAATTTTAACCTCAGTGTAAAGAGAGTTAATCTATACAAATTAGAATGGTTAGTAATTTTTCTTAAACTTTTCATTAAACCCACAAATCTGGACTAGCAATTTCTCAGTCAGTGGATTCAACAAAGGGATTAAACTCAGGCCATTTCTTGCATATGAAAGCACAAGAGTTCATCTCTTTGAAATTTTAACTTAGGGGCTCAAAGATTTAGTTACATGGGAAATGTTTCACACAAGCAGTATGAAAGGCAAAGAGAATACTGCAATTTTGTACCTTGATAGAGACTAAAATAATCAGAAGCAAGCACTGAATTACACAGTGATGAGAAAGACACTGGTAGTACACAAATTTTGCTACACATACCTTCCAGAACGCATCCTCATTTGCTAGCATGTGAAAGAAGGGCAAAGAACAGATTAGTGGGAAATACGTCACTGCAGTGAATGCTGGTTCTCAGCTATGGGAGTAATTTCATTAAAGCGGTGACACAAGAGATCAGGACATTGCCAAAATTAATGTGGGCAGGACAGAATGCAACAGCAAGTGGTGGAATTAGCATCTGAAATTTTAAAATGTACATTGCAGGCATCCCACGATGTTAAAATGCCATGGTATGAGAAGGACAGTCTGTTTCAAATTTTCAGAAATGTTCATACTGAGCTCCTTTCTACCTGCCAGTAGTCAAAAAGTCTTTTTTTAAGGACTTCAGCCTGCCTGCTGGGTGATGAACAGTCTGGCCCTGAACCAGCAAGGCACTTAAGCGGATGCTTAACTTGGAGTATGAAATTGGTGCCGCTGACTTACTGTTAACCACACGTTTAAATGTTCAGCTGATTCATGGCCAAAATAGTCAGCTATCTGTGGGAGTCAGCTTTGTGTTATCATCAGCTCTCTATCATCAAACTCCTCCCACCCAAAATGCCAACATTTCCTGACCTTTTGATGAACTGAGCCTGCAGTGATTGCATTCACAGCCTGATAAGAACAAGAACCATCGGAGCTTACTGGAAAGCAGACCAAGCCTTTCATAAAAATATTTGTGAAATTCATCACACTTCGGTCCAAAAATAAAAAGCCAGGAAATTTTAACAGCTTTATGAAAACTGCAGAGTGGGTTGTAATTTTTGCTGCTGATTTGTAAGAGTCTGGTGCATGCTGTCCCAGTGCCAAACAGCTGATGGAGAGGCCTTTTTCTTTGGATTAAAGTGGAAACAACCAAACTGATATTTCTGTCCTTCAGCTCCCTCTGATCACAATGTCCCAGTATGATCCCTCACATACGGACCAACTTGTGAGTTGTTTCCTGCTGTTACATATTCATTTTGTACACTGATGTATGCATACACATGAAGATGCAGCATACACATGAAGATGCAGCATCCACTGCTGCCACTCAGCATGGAGCGCAAGAACAGGGCTTCCAGATACTAGCAGTTTATGGGCTTCCAGATACTAGCAGTTTATGGGCTTCCCTGACCTGGAGTTTGCATCTTTAGTCTTACATTTAACAGCCTTACATAGCTGGGGTTTTTTCTTCCATAAATTTGTCTATTCTCCCAATAATTGTAGCACCCTTTGGCAATGAATTCCATAAATAATCACAGACTTAAAGATGTCACTTCATATACACAAATACACACACAGAGATCCACTCTGATATGACACCACGATTATTCACGGGATATAAATGTTATTCAGATACACTAAGGCTTGATAATTGAAGAGTCTTTTCTACAAATGATACATGTCAGAGCATGTGACCTCATTTCAGGTAAGACATTTTCAGATAAATGAATCTTGATTAATTGACATTTCACTCAAAATTTACGAGAATCGTTCTTTTCTGCACCTCTGGAAATTACAGTTGTTTCCTGCACTTCACAGGAGTTTTTTAGTTTGCTTAATTCTCTTTTCAGCTCACTTTAAAAAAAAAAAACAAAACAAAAACCACAAAAAACAAACACCCCCCCCCCCAAAAAAAAAACAGTTTAAACATTTTAAAATATGTCCACTTCTGCCTTCTAGTTGGTGAAAAAATAAACCGAAGATAGTTATTTTAAAGGAACATTTTAGAAGTGGAAATCAGCTTTGCAATAAAGGTGGACAACTATATCACTGCAGTGCCAAGCTGTCTGGACAGCGTCCGTCTTCAGTTTTCAGAGCTTGCACAGCATCTACCACAGTGATGCCTGGTGCACATACCTAACAAACCCCTACAGAGGTGGGGAGTTGTACTGTAAAGAAGACCAGCTTAAAATTGTCAGAACATGCAGAATCCCAATACAGATACAGGATGTTGGGAAAAAAACCACCCAAAGATACAGGACTTGAAGAGGAATTAACCATTTAAGAGAGAGAGCACTCATTTCCAAGTGGCTCTGAGACAGCCGCCTCACTGGAGCTCTGTCACTTACTTGCCTACTTCCTTGCAAAGAAAATGGGAAACGTGGCGGAAAGAAGGTCAGAGATACCAAGCTCTAACTTAAATGAAATCCACTGAGGGGCTAACAACCCAGCTTGCTAACACTGCCATTCTTTTGTGTTTTTTTCCCATGTGATTACATGGGAAAAACAAGTGCTATGATAAGACAAATAATAAAATATAATTTTAATTTTGAAGATAAAACTAAGCCTGGAATAATGTTCTTTCCACCGGGGCTCACACAAGCATGGGCTCCTGCTAAGAGGCACGTCATCATAGCTGTTTACTGTGTAATAACCTCTCTTGTCCTCTGAGACCCTATGCATTAGAGACATATGGTAAGTAGGCCAATTGTCTGCATCTAGCACATGAAGTTTTGAAGGTAGAGAGAAGCACAGAGAGAAGCACCGCTGAGTTTCAATTGGTTATCCTGTGGTGCAGGAATTCAAGACAGGGCCAAAAGGATGAATCACAAGCACTAAACATGACATTTGAGAGGTATATCAAGCTACCACTGAAACACTGTCAAAACTTCATGTCTTAATTGGAATTACCCCTGTAAATGCTCCTAACACTGAGACAATATTTTGCTTCAAAAAATGCCTACCTTCCCTTACCTATAATATACCTAAGTTATAAAGGCAACATAAGGATAATCACATTTCTTTACTGGTGTTCTCTCTTCTGAAATGCAACGCAAGCCTCTTGCTTTCTCTCTTAAAATCCTAAATGGGCCACATCTGAAGAATTACACTGTATTTAATGTTCTCCATGTTTCATCTCCACCTCCCAGCTCTTTGCCTTCTCTGTATGTCACACATTTTTCCTGGAATGGGCTTCTTCACATGTTCATCATCGTTCCCAAAAGGCTCATCTGAGTTGTTCATTCTCCAGGCTTTTACCCGCAAATTTTCAGCATCTGAAGCTCTTATAAATACCAGATTGGAAGGCATCTTCAAGGCCATCAAATTTAGATTTATGATTCCAGTTCTTGGAGTCAGAAAAATAGCATGGGTTTCAGCCATTGTTTTTAAAACCTTAGCCGTTGAGGATGGACAGCAGTTTCTTAAAGCTGATGAAAAGAGGCGAATGAAAAGCCCAGAATAGTTCTTAGTTTTTAAATCCCAATTTTTCAACATATATATTTTAAACACTTGGGGTTGGTCAACACTGCCTTCTCCAATCAGTCCTCTCACTGTATGGTGCTTACAATATGAGAGATCAGATTTTTCCACTGCTTGCAGAGACTTTGGATCCATTTCTACATAGTTTTGACCTTTAGCTTTATCCTTCAATTGTTTTTGCAGGAAAACCATCTATTTTCACTGCACACTAAAAAGTGCAGGGACCTTACACAAAGTAATGCCCTATGGTGGTCTAACAGTAATTCATATGAAATCCTACTAATAAATATTTAACATGTCATTAGAATAGGAGTATATTTGTTTAAAAATATGCTTACCTCTTGTTGAAAGAAACAAGGGGTTATTCAAATAATTTGATGCAAGGCGTTTCCGCTACAAAGGAAAAGGAACAAACCAGTGTCGTTGAAAAGTACTCTGGTTGCCTTTGACAATTTCATATTAACAACCCCACTAGCTTCCCTCATACATAACCAGCTACCCAGAAGCCAGTTCTGTGACTTGCCTACAGTTTGTAGGCACATACTTAGTTTGCAAGCAATATATTAGGGCCTAAGCAAAATATTTCTCTTTTCAGAGGCTAATGTGTACAACCTCTAGGAGCTGACAACGGTTTCAATCTGCTGAGGTCATCAAAAATTTCCAAACTTGTAAATGCAGACCACTGGAAACCTGACTGAGATGTTTTAACTCATTTAATGCAGCCCATTGCCAACTTGTCAGATGGTAAAAGCTGTTGGTCAATGGCAAGCCAGGCTTCATTAACAGTCTATATAACCCCTAATTGGTTCGCTGAGACATCAGTACTTGTACAGCAGGAATGGAAACAGTACTATTTTCCTCCATTAGATGTTGTTAGACTCTGCTTGGAAGAAAATTAGAGGGGTTTTGCTAATAAATGATTTATTCTGTGGTGAGTAAACTGCTCTCCCATACACGGGTGCCTGCCAGTCTGTTAATGAATTTTGAATAGACATTTCTTCCTTCAAAAAATACCCAGCCTGAAATTTAACCCCTTCCTATGGAAAAAAAAAAAAGAAAGGAAAAAAGGTTGGGAAAAAAGCTTTGAAAGCAAAAAGCACAACATTCAAGCAAAGACATAAGACTGTGATCACATTTTTGTAATCAAGGAACTTAGCATCACCACTACAGATGCTGAGCTCCTGCCGTTTTGAGGGGCTCTGGCAAATAAAAAGTCTAATTTATATGCAACTTCAATTTAAACAATCATGAATTAAAGATCATTCAGTAGACTAACCGTAAATTAAACTGCACCAAAATGCCTGAAAAGCCACAAAATACCTCAACTCACTGATTAGCAAATCAATCTGAGCAGCTAATTGATCAGAGAAAAACCATCTGCCTCCATTTTACTTGAACGGCATTCCCCATGGTCAGTACTTAATGACAGCTCCTAATGAGGACACAGCTGATCAGCCACAGGACTCTTTCAGAGACATTGCTTTCTCCATGCCATCTTTCACTTCAGGATATGCTTTTGAGAATAGATATAATGAGAAGGATGAACCTCCTCCATCACCTCTTCTATCCTTGCTCCACGATAATTAAATTTCTCACCCTGATCAGACTAGAGCCACAAAACTCTGCTGCAAGTATTTTAATAAACTCATTGGGACAAAAAGGTCTAAGAGAAGACACTACCAATTTGATGCTAGCAGCTCCTAATGTGTTAAGTACTGGATGTACGGACATCAGTATTTGCTCTGAAGAGGTCATTAGAGAAAAGTTGATAAGTTCTGAAGAATTGAAATGCCCAGAGCTGTTCTGGAGTATAAAAATCTCCAATAATTTCATAAAAAGAACAATCAAGCACTAAGCAGCTTGACTACGGAAGTGGGTTTCTTCTTAGCTTCATCTGTCGGCTGTCTGCCAACAAACACAGAAATCTGAAATGCTGGCATACCAAAAATTCTGCATCACTTGTACCTAAATAAAAGCCTAAATGAATTACAGGAAGAAAAAATAAATAAATAAATTAAAAAAGAAGAAAAAAAGAAAAATCACTTTCTTTAGGCTGAAACAACTCAGAACACAGAGATAACTTGCTTAAATGGAGAGCTGGCTGAAAATCGATTTCATTCCTGTAGGAAGTTCAAATTGTAACCCCAAACTGTGGTGAAATTTTAAAGGTGGAATTTTAATAAGCTGAATAAATGCATATATGTCAGTTCAGAAAGAAAGAAAGAAAAAATTCCAGAAAATATTTGGTCTATTTATATGCTGCCTTTACACCAGGTTTGCAATTCAATATTATGTAGGACCACATTTTGCTACGACTAAAAATGTAACAGCATAACTGTAACAGACAACAGACATTATCCAGAGCATTTTATTTTTAATTATGCATTATTGTATTTATTATGCAGGCTTCCATACCCCCTGCAGAGCACACTGATTCTTAAACCAACGCATCCCTTTTATGAACACCACTAATAAAAAAAAGCAAAGTTCTCCATTTATTACTTGACACATAGGAAAAGAGAAATAGCAACGCAAGCTTGAAAAAATGCAGTACGTCTGTTCTTCAATTCTGACCTAAAGGGACTGTCTGTGTGGGTGAAAGAGTAACTAGGTCCTGCTTTAATTTAGTCCTTTTGGCCTTTATTAAAACTAAGACAAATTTGAGTTTGAAGCAAGTGATTTTGTGGAGTGAAAACCTGTTGCTTAGCTACTGAGAGGAGATCTTTTTTTTCTACATCAATATCTGTTTGCAAGTAAATGTGTGGTTCTACATTCATATATACTTGTCATAAGAAGCACTTAAACCTTTTATTAACATGAAACAGAATTGTGATAAGAAAGTGAATTGATAAAGTACCTCTGTTTCCAAGAGTCCACTGTAGGCTGGATTTGCTGTGCTTCTTCTCTTTCTTTCCTGACGCTTGCTCTGGATTTCTGTAACCATGGAAAGAAATGTGAATTGTGTGTTTCTCATTCATCAGGGAAAAATGTAGATCTAACTTGTTAAGCAAGATGCTCTTACCCTCAACACCTTGGGCTTTGTGTTCAGTTTCAGTTTCTAAAATATAATTGGGTTGCATCAGCATTGATACTTGCTGCAGTTCAACTTGATATTAATAAGCTTTTCCTTGTAAGATTCAGAATACAGGCTTTTTTTTTTTTTTCCTTCCTCCAAGATGGACTTCTCCTGCCCTACGAGGTTTTTATTATGATCCCTTCAGACACATATTCAGCAAGCATCAACAGAGAGCTTTCAAAATACTATCAATGTCTGCTATTAACTAAAATGAAGCATTTAAAGCAGTTAAGCCTTATAATTCATATCAGATGAAAGCATAAAGATCCTTTTAAATTTAATTTACATTACTTTTGTTCTGTGAAGGTTAGAAAATGCACGGTCAGAATGGTATGGTCAGACTGAGCTCTAACTAGGGCATGATGATTTATCCATCCAAAAATATACAACATCATGATCCCGAGCATGCAAAATGTTGTTACGAGCTGTACACATATTCGTGTCACTTGAAACAGTAGCACAGAAACAGGCTCATCAAATTGAAGTCCTGATCAGAAAACAGTGAAACACAAGACAACTCCCTCCCACTAAGTGATAACACCTATTCAAGAGGGTACTTGCTGAGGACTGCATTCAGCAACAATTAGCCATGTGCATACTTCTGTAAACACACCCGGAAAGCGTGACTGGATTCCTCCACCACTGAAATCTGCATTTTTAATACTACTTTTATCTGAATTAGGATTTTGTTTTCATCATACAGAATTTCTTTTCCAGCTCTTGGCATCAGTTCAGAATGGTGAGATTATTACAACCATGTATTTTAGAGCCTACTTTTTATTTTGATAATAATGTAAGAGCAAGCATACTTTAGGAAGGAGAGACACCCAGAATCCATCTCATGACATGAAGTGTGCACAGCTGGGCTGATGCCCTATTCCAAAATGTTTCCTACATGAGTATTGTAAGGCAAAGCTTAGGCTCTGCCCTGAGGTATTAGAAGGTCCCCATGATGGTGGCACCTCCTCTCTGTCTGGCTCTTAGCAAATCTCTCAGAATGAGAGGAACTGGCAGGAGCACCAGTGCTTCAGCCCAGAGGACCAGGAGAACACCCAACAGAAACTCAGGACACCATCTGATTCTGAAGAAGTTTTGGTATCTTTTTGTCAATGTCTGAGCTAGAGGTCTATTTCAGAACATCCTCAGTGCCTGAAAATGACCTTCAGGATATTGAGCACTACCTCCCACTTGTAATCCAATGATAAGATACAGTCCAGCTTTTAGGATGCTTAAGATACATGGGAATTGGATTCCCAGCACATAGTTCTGGCTTCCAGGCACCCCTTCCAAATGTTGATCACCTCCCCACAGAGCAAAAGGAGCCTCAAACCACTTCAAACTTTGCTTATACTAAGTGGTACTAGTATTGTCAGTCATGTCTTGGACATAGTGTTCCAGTGTATCTAGAGACAAGGCCAACACTTTGCATGGATTTTGAACTGGCCTGAGATCCAAGATATTGATTTGAAACTTTTCATTCACAAAAGACTATTGGCTAAGCTGCCACTCTTGGAGCGATGGATGTGTCAGAAGGAAACTTGACAGACAAGAAAAAAAGAAGAGCGACTACTTGCCAGTTCTCCCACTGGCACAGGAACATGTCACCTCACATGCTTAGCAGGTGTCTTCTCCTGGGGCAACTGAAAGAGTACAGGCAGGTCTGTAGCCACAGTCTGACATGAGCTAGACATATGCTGCCATGCGACTCAGGAAGCTATACAGAATCTCACTACCAAGGAACGCGTGATCCAAGGCTGCTCCAAGATGTGTGATAAACGCCATGGCTGCAGCTACTGCCAGCATCTTGTTAACATCCTCAGTGCTGAACAGGCTCCAAACTGGAGGGTCTTGTATAGGTAACAGTTCTGTTCCCCTGTGAAAGTATTCCCTATGAAACGTTCATCTGGCTATGCTGAAATCTCCATTCTGAAGCTTCCAGACCCTTAGGCACCAGGAATTGCGCCTCAGCAGCAGCATAAGTGCTAGACACGGATCCAGTAGCCTTCCACAGAGCCACCAGAAAACAGATGGTTGTTCTTCCTGTCAGTGTCAGTTCTTTACAAGAATGGGGAATGCTCTCAAGGCCAAAAGGTGACAGAGATGTCACAACAGAGGAACCATGTGCCTTGATGCTGGCAAAGAAATAGAGGAAGCGGCCCTCTGCTGATTCTTTACTTTCGTCTCAATAGCGTGAGCTAACCCATGCTATGTGGTCAGTGAATCCAGAGCTTGCAGCATCTCAGCACCCTCGTGGTAGTGGGGGGAAAAAGTCAGGCTAAAAGCCCAGGCTTAGTCTTTCAGAAGTGGTCACAGGGATACAAGATCATGACTTGTCACTAGCACAGAAAAAGAAACAAAGAATTCAACACAGCAGAGCTTTCTGTGTCCATAACTGGGCCAAATGGCTTCACAAGAGAACTGTGATGGATCTGTAGCTCTCTGCCCTTTTGGATCCCAGGTTTCAGAGAAAATTTCTTTGGTACATGCGCTCACCAAGGCAACAGAAATATTTGATGGAATCTGAATCACACATGGGGTAGATGCCTGGGATGCAGCTTTGGAAGAGGCATCGCTAGGGTACAGAGATAAAAGCTGGCTGGGGAGGGGGGAAGTAATAGCAGTGGGAATAGATGGAAATAAAGAGAGAGCGAGAGTAATGAACTGAAACAGCTCTAGATGTGCTCCACCCTATGCAGCCATCAGGGAGGGCGAGCACAATGTCAGCACTTTATTTATGGAAACTGTGAACAAAAAATATCCATGCTTGTGATATAAGATGTACATTTAAGAGTGTATCTGTTGATAATCACACCAAGATAGAACAAAAGCATACACGGTATACAGTCTTTTGTTAGGTGTTACTTTTGCTATATAGTGTTCATTTCAAAACATGGTTTAATAAAGTAAAATTCTTTTTTAACCGTTTAAAACATTCCAGTAACATAAATGGAAATATTTCTGGGGTTTTATTTTGCTATGGTAAATCAACATGTGCATTATTAGAATGACCTGAACTAAAGTTTTGCTTTCTATCTACTTGGTTTTCTTTTTTGGTTTTTTGTTTTTTTTTTTTTACACAATAGTAATGTTAAAAGGTGTTCCAATAGCCTAGAGAAAGTTATTTAATATGTTACAACCATGCACTGCATCACAAGACTGGGTTATCTTATTCCTTAGTTTATTAATTTAAAAAATGCAACCCAGAAAGAAAACTTAAAGCCTCTACACTGTAATACATTTGACAGAGATGAATAAATCTGAAACAGCTTTTTGTTGGCCGTAAAGCTTCAATGAGCTGCTGCCTTCATCAGTAAATATTCTGTATGGTCATTCTATGAGGCCCATAATGATGATTTATCTTCAGGGAAAGCTGTACCTCACAGAATGTCAGTCAGTGGAAGCAGCTGCATTCATTTACTGGCAAAGGCCTCAAAACGTGCCTCACACTCAGGCTCTGCAGAACACAGCTCTTTTCCCAGTAAGGGAAACCTCTGGACGTTAGGTGGAAAGGCTGCTAGGCTGACAGAGAAATCCATCTAGAAGTGGATCATAGCCCTTCACCACAAAACGAATAAAATGAAAAAAGCAGTAACACTTGAATTAATGATACTAAGTGAATAAGCTTTTAATGACCCACTCTCGATACAGTTTAATTCCAAAAATGAGAAATACATTAGAAGTACTAAAATAAACTGAACTGTGTAATGACCACTGCTTTCTGATAAATAGCAATGGCTGATAACTGTAAATATGACATAGCACTAAAATAATAACCCTCAGCATGTGAAAGCTATAAGGGCATTTTTGACAGTTGTAATCAGCAATACTCATGAAGAAATACCCTTTCCATAGTAAATAGCTCTTGGTGGGAGCCATTTATTTAATGCTAGTAGCAATATAAAAAGTGAATTTGCCTGAAAGAATTGATTCTGCAGGATTAGTATTGTAGCAGTTAGGTTCAAAATGTGTGTCTATGCACTTACTGTAGAATAAACAGAGCAGAGCGGGTCTTGGTGTTCTGGACATAAGTGTTAAATCCACACAAACAATTTATTAGTTGCAATAAAATCAAAGGGTAAAGAATTTTTCCAAATTAAGTTCTCTCTGTTGTAAGCATAACTTGCACTTCAGCATAGTTTCAAATGTTGCCTATTTTCCTTAGACAAAGAAAACAAGAACCAGTCATCATTTGCACTTTTTGCATTATAAATCTTCCCGCAGAATTGCTCTAGCTTTTTAATTTCCATTTCAATCCATTACCATTAAGGGATTTAAAAGGCCGATGGCTTAAAGTTTCTCTAAACCGCTTTCAAATTCTCAGCCACTGGAACATTAAATGATTTTTCAAAATGCACAGTTAAAGAGAAAAGAAACTGAAAAAGGGCAACAAGTCCCACAGAAAACTTGCTGCATATATTGAAGAGACCTTACAATTAAGATACTATTTTCTGCCTAATTTACAACCTCTCTTAAAACCAAGGAGCAGAAGCACAGGGAATCTCACTAAAAAGAAATCAAGCTGTAAAATGGCAGATACCCCCTTAGTCAGCAAGGTATCTAAGCACATGCCTAACTCTAAAGCAAATAAAGCTGAAATTTAGTGCACTGGAAATTCCTCAGTGCTTAGACTGAATATTAGGAAAAATTTCTTCACCGAGAGGGTGCTCAGGCATTGGAACAGGCTGCTCAGGGGCAGTGGTGGAATCACTGTCCCTGGAGGTGTTCAAAAACCACGTAGATGAGCCCTTAGTGACATGGTTTAGTGGTGGACTTCTCAGTACTGGGGTAATGGTTGGACTCAATGACCTTAAAGCTCTTTTCCAACCAAGCTGATCCTATGATTCTATGACTTTCCTGTCCGTGGCATGGATGGTAAATGTCAATGATAATTACAATCTTATGTGATCAAGAATCATTGTCAGCTGACACATATATGAGCATTTTCTCCATATACCAGTGGAACCACATCAACTTGCATTAGCTGAGCATATGACATATACATCAGGCTGTAGACTTTTTTGTAAAAAAAAGCTAACTATGAGAACTAACCCACTCTGCCAAGAAACCCCCAACTCAACTCACACTACATGCCAAATTTGCTGAACAAACTCTTTTTATCCTTCTCATCTATGGTTTCAGAAAGACAAAGCTGAGACAAAGAAAGGTACAGATCTGCTAACTCTTGCAAGGTATTTTTGGAAGGCTGGAAAAGTAAATTGAATCCTATTCAATACTGCATTTAGTTTATGTGCAATACTTGTTTGATCTCATATTCAGAAGCTTAGGAAGGCATGCTTAGCAACTCACAGAAAAGCAGGATGAGACTAGAAGTATGTTTATTTTTTGGCTAAATTGGGGCAAATGGAGAGAAGAAAACCTTTGTGAGAGGTAGTTTTCTAATTTGTTCAAAATCTTATAATACAAATGCCAGATTTTCACTATTTTACACATTATTCTGTGGAACTCTGAAGATGATAGGTGATTAACTTACTTAAAAAATGAAAGGCCACCCCACATGGGAAAAGAGGAGAGAACATGCCTACTACAGAAGATAAGGATAAACATCTTTGAACCTCACTGATTCTTCAACCAGATCAGCACTGGTCAGAGCCTTTGCAGGTGTTTTGCTTCGCTATGGTACTCCAGTTGTTAACATCCTCTAAAGGACCATGATGACTGAGTAAGCCCAAATGCCTCCTTATGCCAAACCTGTGGTGCTGGCTGCAGAACCAGTTCTCATGCCACTTGAGCTGTACAATGGGATGGGAGGCAGGGCAAGTAAGATCACCCATTATTTGAGGCTGAGAAGCACAATTGTGCATAGATAACATTTCCCCTGATCTTTCACTGCCCTTCGGAGGACAGAATCATCAGTTACTCTTGGCTACAGAACAGCCAACAGAAAAGATTTCACTCAAAAATGGAACTGTAAAACAACATAAGCCATCTTACCTTCCAAATGTTCTGTTGTAACCAGTCCTAATGCTACCATGAAGGCAATTTTCTAAAGAAAAAATAAGCAGGGGTTAGATTTTCTACTACAACAATCATGGAAGAAGTAAGTAAACAAATAAATCTAGCATTGACAGGATAAACCCGGTAAAAGCCTTTTAGAAATGTATCTTATTTAAATGCATTGTAATATGAAGAACTTTAACTGAAGATTTGCTTCAAATATGCCTGGCCAGTTACAGCCTACTTGTATGGCTATATGAACTTTAGCAGTTCAGACACTTATGAAGTGAATGCTGTATGACTACTGATTTTACACAGCGCATGACCAAAATTCAGTCAATTCAATCAATTCAATTTCATGCAGCTACCTGCTTTGTTACTCCACTCTTTAGAGAAGTAATTGTGTATTATTATTATTACTATCTGAAAATGGCACTGCTTTTATTGGATGTGAGCAAGCTGCATGAAGCAAAACAAGATATGATACACTTCCACTGAACTTACATCACTGAACAAAACATCTGAAGCATATTGAAAGTCCCTTCCCCTAGAAAAAACTTTCAGAAATTTCTCTTTACAATTTTCAGAAAGAGTCCCATGTGCATGAATCATGAAGAGGTACACTGGTACACTGATCCAGTATTTTCCCTCAACGGAAAGTGAAGCATCTCCTGTTGCACTGGTGAACTCATTCTGCAGTGAGGAATCTGATCTAAAATATTACTCAGAACTCTTGTACACTATATATATGCAAAACACAACTTCATACTAACAAATCTTCAGAACATACCAATCCAGTAATAGGAGAAGTACTAGAGCAGATCTTAAATTTTCTGTCAGTGATTTTTCATTGGGAGATTTTTCTTTTCAGGAAAAGTTTTGCTGAAGCTTTTATTCCATCTTTTAGATGGAAAAGTGAAATTCTGCTGTGTTGTTTCAAGCACAAACTGAACTGAGCTCAGTTCTGAGTAGCACCTGTGGTACTCTGGGGCCTTGGGGACCTCTTCCGCTGTGCTGAAGAATGTGATGGATCATGTTACCCAAGTAGCATTTTCATGAGGTGCAATTTCACACAAGAGATAATTTGACTATAAACCCCAAGCTATTAGAAAATCCAAGCAAGCAAAGCCCGCAAACCAACTCTGACAAAGCAATTAAAAAAGATGCAATTATCATACTACAAATAAAATCTGTAGATTTAGGTCAAACTAAAATACAGTGCTTAAGCAGCAGAAGGTCAAAACATTCTGTTTCATCCAAAGGAGTGTCAGGAAAAGATGTTTCAACACTTCCAAGTCAAAATTAGTTAGAACCTTCTTGTTTTGCGAAAAGCCTAATGATTCAACTTTTCATTTCATTTCAGGATTAAATGAACTAGTAAGTCACTAGAACTATCATTTCCTTTGCAGTTCTGATTTTCATGCAGTCGAATTGTGAAAGCAAGCACACCCTCATTTGACAGATTAAAAGACCTAGCTATGGGGTGGTTTCTTCAAAGTCTGAGGGTCAGGATTGGTCATTTACACCCCTCTTGTATCTGTGAAAATATCTTTGTCAAACAGGTGAACTAACAACCTCGTAAGAAAGGAATATTTTCTTTCCACAATTTTCTGGCATATAACTCTCCCTGTAGATTAAAAAAAATGGTGATGTAGAATCTCACCACTGGCAATTTAGCTATATTCATGCTATATTTCTGCCTTCCTTAGCAGTGGTAATGGCAAGCACATGTGTTCATTTGCATGTCAGACCTTGATTTCAATAATGTTCACTCCTTACATGTCTAAACCACCAGATAGACACAGTGGGGGCTCCACACCTGAAGGGAAAGATGAATATTTGATCCGATATCCACTGCGCAGCTCTGAGAAGAAAATTAGCCAACTGAGTAGAATTACAAGCTTCACCTCACTCCCACCAAAAAGTAAGTTTGTGGCAGGATGCATCTCAGCACTCTGAGGAAAAGTAATAACATTTAGGTATAGAATCAGAAAGTTGGAATGGTTAATGTGCAAGTCCAGTGGAGCGCAGAACGCCTGTATTACCAGAAGATTAAACTGTAGGGGGAACATACATTTTTTGACATCTAAACTAAAATCATTTGAGTACTGGAATATTTGCTAAACAATTTCTTCTCTTCATGATAAAATCATTTGAATACATATCTAATTAAACGTAATGACAGCATACTTGCTTAACATATGAAGAGCAATCATAAATGGACGTGATAATTATCTCACTGTTAAGCACAGGAAGGGTTAGCTTTTATAGATATTTGAAAGATGGTTCCTTTTAAAAAAAATCCCAGTAGAAGCTGTATTCTTTTTAACAAGTTTATTATATTAACAGCATATTTGTTTTTATGGGCTTTGCTATTTCACACTCACGTAGCTCACTACCTTCAACTCAAAGGACTACTTCCACGGCAATGCTGTTCTTTCAAATATTGCAGAGTTGGTATTGCTTCTATTTCTCCTCTGCACAGGAATCTACAAAATGGAGGCTTCAGTTTCTCCAGATTTTCAGTCCAGGCCAAACACTAGTATTTAGTTCATGATTTCAATGTGTCTGTCTTGTCTTTCTTACATGAGATTAAAAACACTGTTAGCTAAATAACCAGCTTTTATAGCAACGTTTTTTCTTCTAAATAGAATGTCCTGGAAAATGTTGTCAGAAATACAAAAATTTACTAATATAAAAACTCTTAAAACACTTGGGAAAAAAAATCTGTTTGTTTCTGTGCTGTACTCAGGTTCTTTTAAGAAAAAAACAAACCCATTAAAAAAATCCAAACCCTCAGGCACCTGCTCGCCAGAGGATTAGCTCCCCTGAGTTAATTTCTTAATTCCTTTGCAGAAGTCATGCAGGTGGGAGAAGACCCACCACTAAGTAGGCAATTGTTGACCCCCATCCCCAGCAGAGCCCTGCTGACAGCAGTGTCCCACTCCTCCAGACCCTCCTCAGCCCTAGGGGAACTGAACTCTCCCAGCTCATATCCCAGGACAGGGCTCTGAACACTGGACCTGGGACACCCTGGGTGGCAGAGCCCCTCTATCCTGCTTCTGAGAAAGCCACTGCACAGCCACATGTTCAGGTATCCTGGCTGTAAGACAGCAGACATGAGGAGGTTTGGTTTAGTCTAATCATGGCGTACTTGGGAAAGGAGACATCTCTGTCTTGTGCAAAACGCATACATATTGCAGGAGTTTTGTCTGGGATCAGCTTCATGTCTTCCCAACAGAATGACAAAACCAGGAACAAAAATACAGTAATTATCCTCAGTCTTTTCTGTTCGTGTAGGTACACTCAGTAACTACATATGGTATTCCTGGATACTGGTAAGTTTGGTTATTTCCGGTTTATTTGTTTTAAGTTTTCAGTTTAATCTGTTAAATCCCAGTCTGCCACGACTAACATTTATGTAGAGCCATACTGGAGTTCCTGTTTCAGTTTCGTGGTTTGAAGGTAAACAAAAATGTGGAGAGAAGTGCCTAGGGTGCTTATTTTCTTTTACAGTATACCCTGGTATCTTTGTTACTCTTTGCCTTAAATTTAATAATCTGTTTAAAAGCCATGAGTGCTTTTAGAAATACACAGTATGTCTTTTCACAAAGCAAAACAAAGATTTTTATAAAACCATTTCATTTTGTAATTACATGTTCTATTTATGTCATTACATGTGTTTACACTAATTATGCTGTTAGTTCTAATTACACTAACTGCATAAATACATGATAATCAACTAAAGTTCACTTTCAAAGAACAAAAGAAATTAACTCTACACCTATTTAAGGCTGTGAAGCAAATCTATGAAAAAAGAAAGAACCACCATACTTAAGGACATAGCATTCAGCATTCTACCCAGAAAACTCTGCTTGCCAAGACTGCCAGTATACATGGTAGGAACAATATTCTTGGTTACCAAAAAGGTAGTCAGGATATTCTAGCCAGCAATTTCATGAAAAGCTCATTAACTTTATGAATGCTACACCAAAAAGTGTGCCCAGTCCCAGGGCCTCTTCCTGCAGCTCTAAGGAAGACTTTTGCTCAATATTCTTTCAATATTCTTTATGGTAATCAGTTACAGGCAAAGAAAAAATTATGATTTTTTCTAGCATTCTGTTTTTAAGTGGGATCTACTGGCCCTTTCTGCCTGTAAGGTGCTACACAATAAAATAATCTTTTGGAAATACCTCCCTAAAGAAAACACGACTCTACAATCCCATCATTTGGTGGCAATGGAGATTCATATGAGTGTCAGATTTTAAACCTGGGAGATTTCCTAAGTGCAGTTCTGCAGAGCTTCTTCATCAGGTTGTGATATTCTAGGCTAAAAGCCACTATTATCCTTACAAAGTTTTAACTATACCAACCTCTTAAAATGGTAAAACAAATGACCACCCACATGCCTTAAGTAACATTATAAATTTATATTGTAATAATCCTCTTAAAACTACAGCTCCAAGGATGCTTTTCTGCTGTATATTTATTACACTAGTAAGGTTAAGATTTCACATAGCTGAGCATTTCCGCAACAGAAGTAGATTCAGTTTGTATAACCTCTCAAATTGCTGCAAAAGTACATACAATCTAATGTGAATACATCTAGTAAAAAAAGAAAATGCCTGTTAAAGAGAGACCCTGTTTCTACAAGGACTTCTGATTTATATTTTTAGCTTACATCACAAATACAATTCATGAAAGAGATTCAATCTTATAACCTGCTTTCTGCTCTCTAACTCAGTTTGAAGGTCTTTAATGTATTTCAGGCTAGAAAGAATCCCTGTACATGCAGGAAGTCATAAACAGTAAATGCAAGAAACTGTATTGTTAAATGCAATATAAAAATTGCAGTGTTCAATACAAAGAAGATGTAAAAGCTCAGCTTATGAATGAATTTTTAAGTCAATCTCATACACAGCCTGTAAACCCAACGATACATACTTGATAACATAAAAGAAAGTATCTGAAGTTTGTATACACCTCTCAAAAGAAACTCATCAATACCACACAAAGTGACTAGATCACTATGAGACCTACAAATCTTACATTTTGTGACACTGGAAGTTTTGATGCAAACCGAATTTGTCAGAGCACGTCACCGGAAGGAAAATCACCTCAACTGCAGTGATTGGGTAGGGAGATGAATGGCTGGCAGAATCACGAGCACAAATGCAGTAATGTAATATGCACATGGAAAAATGTTCAGACTTGGCTGCCACAACTTAACTGTACTGTGGCTCACTTATTTAAAAATAAATAATTCACCTCTGGATTTTCCTCCTTTTTCTTTTTGGTAGCAGGGGGTCCCTGAGCTGACTCTTCAGGAGGTTTCTTTGTCTCCACTTTACTTTCTGTCTGGGTTTGGACTTGAGGCTGAATAATGATAACCTAAAAGACAATGCAGAAATAAGAGAATTCATTATATGAATCTGGATTTTTCTGCCTGGCAATACTGATTCTTCTTTGAAGGCTACTTGATATCCCTGCAGACAACAAATGCAAGTCACAAGCCAAAAATATATATAAAAACCTGGATTCCTAGATTATGCTTCTAAAACCATACCTAAGTTTTTAAAAATTAATTTTTATTGGTGCATTATAAGCCTATTGCAGCCTAAGGGAACCACTTGATCAGTGCCTCTGAAAATTAGGACACTTTTTATTTAGAGGACTTCTGAAGCTGACTCAGCCTAGCTTTAGCATACGTGTTGTCAGTGATTTTAAGGTCTTTCCTTTGATTTTATTTTGCATATAGGTAGAAGAGATGGGATTATTACACATTCAAAACCGCAGTATGATTTCAGTCATACCAGTGTTTTTCAGAATAAACACATGTGGATGGGAAAGAAGATAACTCCTCAGTACTACTACGAGGATGATCAGAGAACTGGAGCACCTCCCGTATGAAGACAGGCTAAGAAAGTTGGGGCTGTTCAGCCTGGAGAAGAGAAGGCTGCATGGAGACCTCATAGCAGCCTTCCAGTATCTGAAGGGGGCCTATAGGGATGCTGGGGAGGGACTCTTCATTAGGGACTGTAGTGACAGGACAAGGGGTAATGGGTTAAAACTTAAACAGGGGAAGTTTACATTGGATATAAGGAGGAAATTCTTTCCTGTTAGGGTGGTGAGGAACTGGAATAGGTTGCTCAGGGAGGTTGTGAATGCTCCATCCCTGGCAGTGTTCAAGGCCAGGTTGGACGAAGCCTTGGGTGACATGGTTTAGTGTGAGGTGTCCCTGCCCACAGCAGGGGGGTTGGAACTAGATGATCTTAAGGTCCTTTCCAACCCTAACTATTCTATGATTCTATGATTCTACTCATGTAACTGAGAACAGAGTTCAGCCCTCATCATTTATGTGCTATGAGCAGTGGACGTTCAGTTTTGCATAAACAAAACAAACTATATGTGGTTTAAATTAAAAATAATTCTGGTTCAGAAGCTATTGGATTTACAACACAGGTCTCTTATACATGCATGTATGTTAGTATATCCAGCTGCTCATACCTGAACCACCACATGAAGATTTACATGATGCATATAACTCAGAAGCTATTTAGCTGAAAGGAATGAAGGACTATTTCTGGCCACGGAACTACACATGTGACTTTATATCCATAATCAAAGCTTCATGAAGGATTATGGAAGATCTTCCCAAGCTCACCTTCCTGATGAAGGTTACTGGATTTGAACACTGGGCCTTTTCCATCTATTTCACTGTTAGCTTTCAATCAATGTATTTAATTGTTAGATACTTTATCTCAATGCAGTCATTCTAGAAGGTTCAAGAGCATAAAAAGGGATGGTTTTCTTAACCAGCATCCAGTTTAAGTAAGAGAAAAATAAATTATGTTAAAGAAGTGGAGAAGAGATGCCTGCTTTTATTTACCTCAAAAGCCATCACATATTCTTTTTTCGTACTGTACGAGAACCTGTGCTGCCAACAAGACCCAAAGTAGTAGGAACCTAGTAGCAAATTATAGTGAGTGTCTACTGGGTATGTTGTTAGCTTTTATTGAATCTGTTTCTGGCATAATAGTTGTGAAGTTCTTGTATTTCAAAGCTGAAAAGCAGTACAAAGAAGAAACAAGTAATTCGGAACTTGGGCTTTTTTCTTACTGATTTATCTGCTGATCAGTTTTGAAATCCTGAGCTCTCATTTCATTTAGTCTTCCCCTGGAAGTGTAGAAGGGAATGCCTGATTGTTTGATATACTCCCCTGGGGTCAGTCAATATAACTAGTATCACTGTATAATTGAAGAGGGAGTCCATAAGAAATTTGAGCCTGCACGGAATTCAGGGATATTATTAGTGAGGACTGGTTTAAGGAAATGGAAGATCCTATGGTCCCATTAATGTCAGGCTACATAATGATGCATTTTGTTCCCGCTAAAAAATATGCTTGTACACAGACAGATGTCTACCAGCATCCATGTGTCCCCCTAAGAATTTTCCCATTGATTTCTCATTATTTTCTTAAAAAAAAACCACAACACTGACACCACCCTGCACAGGGCTGTGCACTCCCAAGGGGATATTCTTCTTACATTTGCAATGTAACTGCTGTGCCTGATAACCAAAAATAATGCCATGAAAAGCAGAACCTACCTTGCTGTCGGCACTAATGAGGAGTGGTTGCACTTTAATGCTGTCGTTGACCACAGAGACAGTTGCGCTGGTGCTGATAGGAGTTGCATTGCTGGGGGAGGTGGAGATGATGGCGTATGCCACACCTGCACTGCTCAGAGGTGATGAAATAGCTGTAGGCTCAGTGACACTTTGTGACTGGCTGTTAGGTGTCTGTACATGGCTGACAGTGTTATTGGCAGTCGGGAGGGCAGGGCTGGGGTTTTTGATGCTGACTACAGTTGCCTTCTGGAAGGTAGGAGGCTGCTTGGAAGGTTGGTCTCTGCACGGGGAGATAGGGAGGCTGTCTGGAATCAGGGTCTTTGGCCTAACCTACAAACAGAGAGCTAGAAGTTATCAAGCACAGTCTCACAGCATGACGAACAAACACTGCACACATGCACTCTCCCAGTAGAACCCCTAGTTGCATTAATCATGGAAAAGGAGCATCTAGAAAAACATAACGTAGCAGCTCAAAGTAGCCAGACACTTATTTACTTGTAGATATATTCCTAGCACTCCTCAGTTGGGTCATTTCGGAGTCCTTAACTCATTGCAATGCTGAACGAGATCAGAGGAAAAAGTCAATTCCTCACTTTTATTAGCACACATCCATACAAATGCTACTCAAGTCACATCCAGTTCTCAGTAGGGATGTTTAAGCCAAAACCTTTGCAAAGAATGGAAACCCCAGACACAATGATTTCCTATTCTGAAGGTCACAACACTCTTGTTATGAATTAAGGAGTGGGAACTGAATCATTAAGGGAGTTGTCGGAAAGCACTTACAGGAACAGTAAGCATATGCACTTATACTGATGTATTAGTGAATGAAGATCCTCACATTTTTAAGATGTACCATGTTTAATGGACAAGACATGAATCACGCAACCATTCATCTCACCAAAAGAAACCCACAACCATCAAACTTCATATTTTGTTGCTGCAAGTAAGGATCTCATTTGCAGCTGTGGGTGGATGAAGAAGGAGCTTCTATGCATGGAGGGGGAAACGGTTTGCCAAGATTTGTGAAGGCTGCAGCTTTACCCAGAGCCATGAATGATAACTGCGAACAACTGTCTCCAGCTAACGTGATGTGTTTCCAGTGGGGTAATTAACGTCACCCTGGTGACATGGCTCTGCCTTAACAACACGTTAAGTACAGTTCTAGTACTGAAAATAAATAATTTAAACTGCTTCGCATGAAGTTAACTTCACTCCCAGCTTGTTCGTTACCATGGCCAGATAAAACAGTCGGTTCCCTCTGTGCTTATTTAGTCCTGTCACTTCTCGCACCTTCCATACTGTGAAACAAAATGACAAGTTGTAACAGACAGACATGGGAAACAGCTGCCTGTGTCACTGCACTGTAGTCTACAGGAGCCCTTCCAATGATGCCGACTTCAATCTGCAGCCTAAGTAAGCAATTTAATGAAAACATGGGGATTTACTAGTGTGCAGAAAATCATTTTTCAAGGCTGGCCGTCATCCTCTATCATGTCAAGGAGATACGTACCTGTTTGTCCCCACAGCAAATATTAAGGGCAGCAACACACGTATTGCAAGCTCTTTGTGTTTTCATAACTCAGTCTGCAACTGCCAATAGAATCCTAAAGCCTACAAGCAGAGCAAATGTGCAAATTGGAGCCACAGTCCTGCTCAGGAGTGTCTAAATTGTCAGTAACCAACGTAGATGCAAAGTGAAAAAGGAAACAGAGCTGAAGAAAAGAGAAGGATTTGCCCAAAGTCCTGCAGCAGAATCATGATAAAGCCAGAAAGCTGCTGTGTTCAGCTCGCAACTTTGGGGTAACACTGGGAGGCCTCATAGAACCACTGTGAAATGATGCTAAACTATGCTAAACTAGGCGTAACCGTATTCAAGATACAGTGACAGTAATTGAGGGTGTTTTCCCTTTTCCCTCTATCCAATCACTTTATGTAATGATTATTTCATTGATTTAGTTGAGATACCAGACAAACACCCTGGTCAAGTTGTTAAGAGGAATCTATAATTAGTTTCATATCTGTAATTAGTTAATGGTCTTATTTTCTGAAGTAGTGCACAGAGAATTGGTTTAACCCAATCTTGGCCCAGGCATTCTGCAAAACTAAGGCTTCTAACACAAATGACAGTTCAGTGCAATAGGAGATATGATATTTAAAGCACCTCGTTCATGTGTGTATCAGAGTCAGTTATACAAGCAGATCTTGTAGCATCTACTTTTATATTTTCATAAAATATCCTTTCTCTACTATACCTTATATAAGTCTCTCATACGTAAGCCTTTAACAAATTGCTCATGCTCATGTGCTCAGAGACACGTTCACAGAAATAGTATCATTATTCAAGAAAAATGAGTCTTGAGAAGGTTGGCAAAATACAGTCAAAACGTATTACCACGGCTAAAGGAATCCAAATTTAGCTTTTAGCTGTTTTGCTAACATCTAAATTTTACCACCTCTCCTTAAAACAAAATAACTTTCTTGTAAATTAACATAATATGTTACCAACAGAAATACTGTAAACACACAGATAAGCACATATATTCAGGGAAAGAGGGAGAGAGAGAATAAGAAATTGTTCATATCAAAGATTTAATAGAACAGTCACTGAGATCTTTACAAAGAATCAAATCTGACAAAAAAAATCAGCTCAGGAGTTTTTCTAGCCAAAAACTGTCAATGTAGTCTACCAGGATCTACTCTGTCACTCTTAATTGTGCTTTTATATTTAATCAAAAGCCTAATTAAAACTAAATGTCTATATGCATATTCCAGCTATATAATTATCTTTTCTACACTATTACAGATACATATATATAAAATACATTTCAGATGTAATACCTCAGTGAATCCTATACACACCCTTAATACACATTCTGCAAGTTGTGGATGAATGCATATTACTTCGCTATAAAATAAGCTCTTCCTGCACAGGCAATTAAACAGACTTAATTTTCCAAAGTAACACACTCTCTATAAAGTGCTGCATACTGAAATAGCTGACACGATTTACCATTCCGGTACAGCACAAGAACATATGCTGGGCGTTTTCTGCCACCGTGTGATACAAAGGAGGTATAGCGACCTTCACAGTCTAAAGCCTCTGCAAATTCCCTGGCAAATTCAGGTAACGTTGTGAGAGAGCATTTATCTGCAATTATAAAACAATGAAAAGGACTGACTACACAAAAACTTTCAGGTGCTCTTGAGTTAAAGCTAAAATAAATTACAGTTAAATTATGTTTAATTCCAGAGTCCACAGGCATGAATCCAAAACAGAAAGCGAGCATAGAAGCTCCTTGTGCTCTAACAGCTATGAACCTTCTCCCTTTGAACACAGACACTAAGTGTAAGCACTTAATAATCAGCCAAGTGAAAGACCTTTAGCAGACTTTCACATTAAAAACCAAACTGCTAATCTGTGAGAATAAATGGTGTCAGCTGGGAAGAAAAAATAAATGAAGGAAAGAACTAGCTCAAATTCCTTTTCCTCACAGCAAAACTGTGGCTTAAATTTGGGAGATGAAAGGAGGACAGTGGCACGAACAGAAGTTTAGAAATAGTCACCGAAGAAGAATTGAGGAAAAACTAGGCCAGGGCACAGACTGCATTCCACATGCAAGGTATCAAAAAGACATTTTCTACTAGAAGGAGCACAGGTGGGATGACACCGGTCCCCATCACAAGAGACACAGAAATAAAAGGTGCAAAAGTTTAGTAAAAGAGAAGAGAAGAGAAGAGAAAGAATAACAGACAGCATGTATGTTAGCAAGTGAAAACTGCAACTGCTGGTGAGTGCTACAAATAACAATTCTCCTGTAGCTCAGCCCTCCTCTCCCCAAATATCTTTCATTTAACTTCTGACAGCTGTCAAAACAGAATGTGATACTACCAGGGCTCTAAATGCAGGAGAAGAGAGAGCTTCTTCTTGAATGTAATGATCTCACAAACCCATGTTGTTCTTGGGTTTCCTCAGCACCCACAATAACAAACATTTGGTTTTAGGTGGCAATATTCAAACACCCCTAGTACTTCCCGAATAGTGTGCTGCAGGTGAGCACACTGTTCAAGACACTCCCGAACCTAAGAATTCACAAGGCTGGGGGTGTCTGCTTTTCAGACAGGGAAATAACAGGGAGCCCGATCCTGTGAGATGTGCAGAGTGCTCTTTTGTTCAGCAACATCTGATACGTATTTCAAAGAGTTTCAGAAAAGGAGGGAATCAGCTCCTGTGATTAACACAACTTCTTGTATATCCCATATCAATAAGCTCCATCCAGATGTCGCTATGTGACACCCAAAGGCTTTCATTACACCAAAACATCATTCCAGCTCTCAAGAGCACAAATTGTTGAAAACTGCAGTGGTGAACGAACTGCTGAGTGGCGGAAGTGGGAGAGCCTGATGTGTGCCCCCTCTGACAAAGGCAACTGTGATCATGGGCAATCTATTTCCTGAGCTACACCCCATCAGATGAGCTGCTCCCATGCTGTAGTAAAGAAAAAGAGGGTAAAAAAGAAAACCTCTTACAAAATAGGGCCTCAAGATCCAACCCAAACAAGTATGGGGGGGGAAAGGAAGACAAGGAAAGCAAAGCACACAATTCCTCCCATCTCTGTGGGCACTATTACTTACTCCTAAAGGACAGGATTTAATTAGAACAGTTATCTCTGTGCAGATCTGCCTGTGATATGAAAATTATTAAGGGTAGTTCTGGTAAATGTGTTCTCCTTACAGCCTAGCAAAGAAGGGAAGTTAACAAGTGCACTTCAATCACAAAACTAGAAGGGATCACCATGATCCTCCTGCTCACAGACTGGCCATAGAATTTCTCCCAGAAACTGAAGACAGATTTTGAAAGAAAATACTAATGACTTCTTAATGATGAATTCATCACGAGCCCCAATAAACTGTTACAATACTTTATTATGCCCATGACTGGTGTTTCATTGCGCGGTTGAATTTGCCTAACTTCAGCTTCCAGTCCCTGGATCTTGTTACAGCTTTGTCAGCAACACTGAAGAGCCCTCCCCCTTCCCTATATCAGATATCAGCTGGATTGTGCTCAGCATCAATCAGCCCTTCATACTGGCAGGGCCGATCTCTACGAGAGCAAATTTTTCAGCTCAACGCAATATCACATTGCCTTTGAGAGAAAGGCCATTATTCACACTTTATTTTCACTTCACCCTTGTACTCGGAGCTTAAAAACAAAAACTCAAAATGGATTTGGCACAATTCATATGTCACAGAGGCAAAGTGCTGGGAGCAGCAGACAGAGCTTTCATTCTTGAAAAGCTTCAGAGGATCACACAGAAAACATTAGCAAT